ATCATCATCATCATCATCATCATCATCATCATCATCATCATCATCATCATCATCATCGGACAGCGAAGTACAGAAGCGAACTTCACTGATCGCTGCCCAACTTGCGATGCATATGAAGGCTATCATGGTGCGTTTTGCTTACAAGTGTAGTGAGAACGCCCGGACTAACTGTATGGAATGAATTTTACATAACTGGAATCAAGTGTGCACAACATCGTGAATGGACGACTTACTTGAGGGTGTTAAAAACCATCTGACTGATTTTCGAATGCGACGAATCGGTAACCATGCGAAACTGATTGAGAGGAAGAGGGGAGCAATATCCGGATATATGTATGTAAATATCATCTATAAGATTTCCAAGCAATAAATGATTAGCGAAGAAACGGCTCTTACCACTGAGTGTGGTGAGACGCGAATGATTGGAAACGGGATCACTGAATGAACAGCGATGTGACAAGACAAACTACTTTCTCACAAACAAACAAAGTATCAAATGCTATCCTCAGCTGGTTAAATTCTTCAACTGAATCATGACCCCCCGTCTAATGCTTTTCTGTCGAAACTAGTTACATTATTAGCATTGATCAGTATTACTCTTTGGTTCTCTACCGGCACAAAGAAGGGGCACATATGTTGAATTTCTGAATTTCCTCAACAACAACAGTATAGGTGGTGATGGCACAGTGATTTAGTCGCCGTCACCGGCGTGCTTTGGACCCTATGGTCCGAGGTTTGAGCGCCGCCACCACCACCCGACTTTGGTGGTAGGCAGCTCTGCTGTCGTCCGGTTCAATACCACGCCTAACCTATCTGGGCCTTATGTGGTTCGCCACTCCAAGTTCCGGGGCTTAGGCTGCCGATTTCAACCACTGAACAGCAAGTCCTCGTGACTATGGGGTTTACCCAGTCTGCTGTTCATCACACCTAGGTGTGTAATAAAAAAAGCATCGGTCAACTTGACCCTAAAAACCGGTACTTAAAGAAGTGACTGCCCGATATTTCAGACCTGAATAGACAGTAAGTGGCGCAATCCAGTCAGATCTCTCTCTCTCTCTCTCACTGCCTCTTAACTATCCCGTTCCCTAGGATCAATCAATCCGGCCAAGGTCCCAGCGATTTCAAAGCGTGTTCAAGCGAACAAAGCTAGTGACGCTGATCTGGTTTGCGAACAGCCTGTAGAACTGGAAGTTCAGATGATAGATTAATGCACATATGATGCGAGTTTTTGATTGTTGGAAATCAATCAAGATTAGAACCATTCACCAAAAGGGTTCCGTACAAAATCACCCGATCGAATTGACTTCAGTAATCCAGAAAGCTTTCCAATGTACACTGATCAACAGCGCGTAATAATTCAAGACATACTTTCTGTCGCATGCACTCCCCGCTTCGACCAGTTGAAATCCGTCATGATGGATCCAAATCGGCCCTTTTAACTATCGAAGGTGTTTCCCATTCCCTAAAGAAACACCGTGGAAATGTCGGGTTCATTTTATTTGGTTGCACAAAGTGCCTTTGCTTCAAAAGTTAGTATGCTGCTTATTCGCTACGAGAGTGGTGTTTCTCTTGATGTGCTCAAACTCGTGAATGACAACTATTCATAGTGGAAACAATTTATTTCTCGCGGTTTTAGGCGTTGTTCCTAACGCCCAATCACCTCTGTTAGTTTCCTAGGTGATTATTTTGACCCTCCTTTGTTTTATTTATACAATGAAAGGTAAAAGAAGTAGAGCGAAAATTATTATGGTAGAATCGCCTACTTGTCAAACATGTTTGTCTTATAGGGCCGAATTCTAACCGCTTCACAATGACTTCTGTGATGGCCCTATGTGTGTCTTTCTAACTTGTTGAAGAATAATGGTAATGGTAACCGTTTGCGGAGTTCAGAAATTGAACAGCAACATTGTAGACCACTTATGCATAGGAATAAATGTGTACCAAATGGAGAGCATTGACGATCATTCACCTGGACCGGATTGTGTTCTCACTCGGTGAGCTCAATGCAAATGTACAAAAAAACTATCCTAACCGCGAAATTTGTGATGCAATATACCGTTGTATAGTTAAACAATGTCAAATGGATAGAAAAGCGTAATTCGAATGAAACTGTGATAAAAACGTACTCTAGGAATGCACTGGCTCCCTTACCCTTTCGTTGTGTCTAGCGTGTTCCACTGTCGTTTCCATTATGAAACACCGTACCGGACATTTGAATTCTTTGGCAACTTCGATATAACGACCACGAGACTCAGCATCCATATTGGTATTGTCAACAACGACCGACTGGCCTTTGGAGAGAGCAGTCTTCGAGGCTTGGACACATTTTTGCCAAGTGCCCAGATCATCCTGGGAAAAGATCGGGCGATGGGTATAGAACCTAATTTTAAGATAATATACTGACTGTAATTTGCCAAGAGGCAGATTATAGATAAATTTGAAGGGCACCGGAGCAAAGTTGTACGTATGGACATTTTACTAGCGTTCCAATAGGTGCGCTCTGCAAAACATTTTGCATCATGGTGCAGAGTTACACTCTCTGACATCGCGTTCAGTTCAGTTCGTATAACCATTAACCAAGCACTTTTTTGCGCCGGTTTTGGTTGCTGTATTTTGGCTGCTCATTTGAATCAAGAATGGGAGAGGACAGGAAAGTTGAAGATACAGTCGAACAGAAAATGGCGGATTACAGTGGTCTAGGTTTGCAAAAAAATTGAAAAGATGCGAGAACACCACTGTTTACGACACTGCCATATCACTCAGTGTCTCCAGCCATCGGGTACGATGATCCCGAGGTCCAAAGCCAGGGAGCCTAACGGGACCTATATGACCCAGACTCCTGGTCAGGGTTTTCATACCTTGGTGCCAGGTCTTAGCTTGGCCACCCTTGACATTTTTCCACTCGATGTCTGCTTCGGCGAACATCGCTCGCCGTGGTAACCTATCTGGTGACATGCATAACAAATGCCCCAACCAACATAATCTATGGATGTCTCAAGTTGGCAAATGTCAACCGAGCCTTCTGTATATGAGCAGCCACTTCATCCGTGATGCGTCCACCGGGAGAGATGTAGCTGCCCAAATAACAAAACTTATCCACTATTACTTCTCCAGTTAGAGTGAGACTGGGTGCTTAACCGACTCAGTCTTGTAATTACATCCCATGCGTAAACTTTAATGATAGTGAATAAAAAGAACCAGAAATTAAGTTGCACTGACTGAGTTGCCGAGGTCATGTTCATTCCGGAACTCATGACCTGGACCTCAATTTTCTCAATGATCGGTCAATGGCGTCGGACTCAGTAGGCTTCAGTTTTTAGAACCATTAACCTTGCACTTTCGTGTGCCAGTTTTGTTTGTTGTCTTTTGATCGCCCATTTGGATAAGAGCAGAATGAAGATTGGAGTACATAGGGCAACGGTTTGTTCCTCTCGTTTACAGGCCGGTGAGCACCATGAGTTCATTGTATCTAGGAGACCTGTCTCCCCTACATGACGATGACACCATTTCATCGTCCCATTTTTATCTTCGCTGCGTCATCGATAGCATCAGAAATGACTACTGAATCTGATTTAGTACCCATTGTGTTGAATTTCCACCGCTTTCAACGTTTTTCGTGTAAGACTGGCTTTCTCTGTTTTCCTATGAAAGACTTAGACTTTAGACAAGGTATTGCAAATCGGTTCTCGTAGCTCGGATGAAGTGAATTTCATTTGGTCAGATTGCTGAGCTTGGCAATTTGTTTACACACATTCATCAGCCAAGTTGATATCGGCAGTGCTTGTAAAGTGTCCACTTCACAGCAGCAGTTGCACACCTTTCTGAATTATGACCGCATATATGGTGCCATCTTTCAAAAATCAATACTTTTGATCCCCTGATGAATAAATGAATTCAATGGAAGCAGCGTAGGTTTCTGTTGCCCTCCCGGACTACCATTCAGATCAATGAATTTTGACGAAAAACGGAGTAGGCACATTTGAACAAAGGCGACAATATAATTCATTTGCATTGTAGTGTAAACAACCTCACAAGAGAATTATCTTCAGGGAGTCCAAAACCTGATTCGCTTCCGGATAACCAAGCAGAAACAGCACAACTCAACTCAGGTGACTGATAACAGTCAGACAGTCAATCAATCAAGACGGTTGACAATTCAGTCAATCAATCGTTGCGTATATACTACATTCCGTCTTACCCATAAATGAGCATTCAATTTTTGGAATAAATGAACAAGCCCTGCACTTCCGGCCGTGTTCTGTTTTACTACTTGGAGAATCTCGGTCTCGACCAGAAACGTTGTCGTCTGTGGAATTCAGTATCGAGACAAGTCCATGGGTTATAACAAAAAATGTATCAGAAGCATTACACATGGATAGAAACAACTGATCAACAGGGTGAGCCTGACTTACACGACTTATAATTGTGTAACCCAATGGAGCCAGCCTTCGATGACAGAAATGGGACTTGCCGGCTGACATAAAAGTTTTGAAATGAACGATAAAAAGAGCATTTCACTTTCGCATTGAGCTATCTCGTAATGAATTATAAAACACAAAGCAAGATTTGTTCATGTTTGTGAAAAGTTAAAATTAAGGCAACGCCGTCTACGGATGACTGAGAAATCTACCACACGGTAGAATAAAACAATGTATGTATGAGCTTAGCACACAGTCGGCAGAGGCCATTTTTATAACCGTGTTGCAATCCCGTCTCGTTCGGTATGCGCGTGCCAAAACAGTGTAGAAATCGTTGCATTTTCAACCCCGCAAAAACTGGGAAGTAATGCGACCGGAAAACCTATAAACAACTAAAACTCGTGGCATTTGGCCAATGCTCGTCTAATTGGTCTTGTGCATATAACGAGTTTTCGTTTGAATCAAAGCATAACAACATTTTCAATTTCGTGCACAACTTCATTCTATCTTGGTATTTTCATAGCGATCATAAGGGCAATTTCTTCATCTCAAAGCTCAATCGTGTAGAACGATGATGATTGACAAACACGACAACGGACGGTTAGAAGCAGACCCTGCCAGAAAAAAGGAAATACATTGAGTGTTCACTGTGGCTAATGATAACACAATCAAAACAGCGACACTCCACTTCATCTAACACTCCCGGGCATATGCGAAGAGAATGAATACTGTGAACAGAACGCATCACGCATGAAGTTCTAGACCAACACCAACGATGACGCTCATGCAAGAGGAGAAGTATAAACGGACTAATGATGCATTACCATTTAACTTTATTATTACTATTCATGAAGAACCGTTAGATGCAATTTTGAAAGAACTCACATGCTGGATATCCAACTAAGATGATCATTTCTGGTTTTGAAGGTTTCTCAAGTATTGGTAGGTCGGGATCTGGGCTATTAAATAGCTTGTTTGCGTCAAACGCGGGCAAAGAGAATGGTCCATCATCCGATTCGTCGAGCCAAAGCTGTTCCGGAGTGAGGAACTTCACTCCAAGGTTGATGGCAAACTGTGAAGTGGAAGAAATCAGAATAAGGCAGTAAAAATATAGATAATATGCACTTACTTTCCATTCAGACAAGAGTGAATATAGCACAACTTAACGTTCGTTTTGCTCGTTGATTGGGGCAGTCTAACAAATGGGAAATTTCAGGTTCAATGAAAGTGAACTCCATTATGAACCGCGCTGACAGATGACATTTAGTGTCCCCGACAATCGGTTAGGTTGACCACGGGGACCACTGGCACGATGCCCAGTGCGATCATTTACCCGGGGTTATCATACCTTCATCCCAGGGTTTTGTTTGACTTCAGAATCACCGTAGATCTTGGAAAACAGCTCGTGTCAGGGAAGCCCGTCCGGTGACATGCGTAACACACACCCCAACCAGTGTGATCCACAAGCTTGAATGCATGTTTTAGTTTGTGACAGTGACGGCAAAATTCTCTTTGCCAAAATTCGTTAGTCTGTCTGGAGTTATTCCAGCGGATTAATGCATTAGGATTTATATGCCGCGCTTCAAATAGCTTCTGCTGANTCGTGGCGGAGGTGTTAACACTAAACTGGGAGGGCAAAGGCGAACGCCCGGCGCTTTCCACCGGGTTGACTGACCACTGGTAGTCAGTCTAGGGGAGTTGGATAAACCCTGATTCCAAATCACCCACACCTGGCGTAAGAAGCTCATAGTGGCACTAATCTTCGGCGCAACCGAACAGGTCTCCAAAGTTATTCTTTGGAGTTGACCACCGTGATGCTCACCGGCAAGTGCGAGGCTCAAGGGCAATCTGGGTACCCTGGATAGTTGGCCGCGTCCGAAAGGCGTATGAACTGACGCCCCCCCACCCCAGTC